GCCTCCAGATTTCCTCTGTGATGCAGAGAAATATCCAATATTTTGAGAAGGATGGTTTAGTGCAAAGTACTCATGCATCCTGTCATCAATTTGGTACCACTTTGCAGGATCAGATGGGTAGCTTGCTAATACCCATTCTGGGTCTAGAGGCTCCTGCTGACAGCCTCTGCTGACCCTTGCAGCAGGCTGCTGTAAGACTGTATTGGGCTCACTTCTGTCTGGCTGCTGTTCTTCCAGTTCGTCCTTCTGTGAAAGCGTTGATGTTGACGGCGATGGCGCCACTGCGTCTTCCGTCGCATTTCCCGCATCATCGGACCGTGTCTGCTCCGGGTCTTGCTCGGGCTCAGCCTCTGGCTCTGCTGACTCGAGCAGGTTCACAGCTGTCGGACGGCTGCCCGAGCAGCCCGACAGAAACTTCTGTAAAGCCCCCCGCTGTCTCTTCTTTTGTTCCTCTTCATTTTTTCTTTTTACGTCTTGCCGCACCCGAAAGCATCGTGATAGTTAGCCTACTCCAAAACACCTGCTAGCTTTGTTGTGTCCCGCGCTGACTCTGACCGCTTCTCTGACGTCCTCAATTGGGTGGCACCCAAGTTGTAGGCTACAGTCATGGCCTGGCGTTAATGTGACGTAGCTAATGTAACAGTCTATGGTTAAGATAAACATTGTCACTATTTTTAGTCAATTAATAAATATTGAAATAAATTGTAGATAGGAGTCATATCCACAAATGCTGTCATAGGACATTTGCATATTTTAATTTATTTAGTTTTAATTTTGTCCCTCTGTCTGGGCCCCATCCAACCAATCAGGCCCTAGGCACGTGCCTGCTTTGCCTTTGCATTAATCCGGCTCTGGTGACAACCCTAATCAGGAGTGAGGAAAAGCAAACCCCACTCAGACAAATAGTCAGTAGATATCCCAATCAGGAAATAGTAATCCCACTTAGCGAAATCTGCAGGCAGAGACCACGATGAGAAGGAAACCAGATCCACGAGCAGAAATAGACCAGATCCCAGTAATCAGTAGCAATCCAGGAAACCATTGCAGGAAAACCATAGGATGTCCAGAACTTCTGAAGAACCAGAATCCAGAGCAGCAGACTCAGGCGGTGAGGCGGTGATGTTATCTCAGGAAGCGAGGACATCTGGCAAAACTCAGCAAAGTATCAAAACACACACACACACAGGGCACTTGACTGTAGACCCACACAGATGGCATCTCATGGAACAGAATAAATAAAAACACACTAGTACTATGTGTACCTGTATGTGCTATGTGTGTGGAGATTATGTGAAGAGGTCAGCTTAAAGGAGTGGATGCAGTAAACTACGTGAACTGGAAAAGCGTTGCAAAAAGAACAAAATAAAAAAAAAACTATAATATATGTAAGGGAAATTAAAGCTTTAGAGCAAAAATGTTTCAAAAATGGAAGAGCTAAATAACCAGTAGCTCATAACTGGCAAAAATTAAAGTTTAAATCAAAGAAAATCATCAAATTTTGAAATAAAGTAATCACTGGTAATCAACGTTATGTAAATATGTTTGTATTTGAATGTATCTTTAAAAGAAGTAACAAAATAAAACAAAAGAAGAAACACAAGATCATTGTTAGTAAGTAAACCTATATGTGAACGTACCACAACAGGAGTTAGAGGTTAGTATCATAAAACTGAAGTATAAAAAACTTTAATCAGTTACAAAATGTGTAAAAAAATATTTCAAAATTCTAAAATATCTAGAAGTTGAAAAATAAAAGAAAATGAAATTTCGATTTAACATAACAGTTAGTGGATTTACTCACTTTTAACTGTCATGGACTCATAGACATATAGAAACCCACAGCATGTTCAGACTTGAGTCTAGCTTTGTTGAATAACCAGAAAACGAATTCTACAGGTTTAAAACGAAACCGCAACTATAAAAATCCATATAATATTCCACATCTGCAGGGATAAATCATCTATTAATGTTGGCTGATATCATAGTTTACCCTGGACCAACACATGAACCATCATGCACCTCTCTCTGAACACCCCGCCATGCTCTATGACCTAACAAGTAAGCTTTCATTCTTCATTTGTCTCATTCTATGAGGAAAACCGAGCTGTTTGGGTTGCATGATGGAAATGGTTGTGTGTTATTTTTAGTTTTTACTGCGGGAAACGGGTCAGCGTGTCTCTGGGGTCAGCTGGACTGACGTGTGCTGCCCAATGACCCGGGGCTGCTCATCCACACAGGACCGAGGGTGGAGCGGTGACCTCCCGCTGCAGCTTGGTTGGAGGAAAGGAAGCGGAGGCAGAAATGTGCTGAAGCGTAGTTCTGCTAACACCACACTGTGCTAAGTTCATGGCCTTGGTTAGATCAGCTTTCATCACCATAGTAAGCTTTAGTTTTCATGAGGAGGCTGCTCTTTCAGCTGAAGTGAAATGTTACCGACGTACGTCCTTTTACCGCTTTTCTCATGGCTGACATAAATGGCACAATGACACCATCCTGGACCTTACAGGCTAATGATTAGCTTCAGAAAACCTGACTACAGCAGAAACAGATACCACAACAAGACTGTAAAATCACAGTGTGTGATATTTTTACCTGTTTACCATCAAATCCTGTTTCCAGTTCACAAACTTGTCCTTTTACACTAATATTTCTCACCAACATCAATTCTAAATATTCCTCTCAGCTTGAAATTTTACACTTTGAATACATAAACTGTGGAAGAGGCTCCATGGTCATCCACCTTCTTAAAATACAGTAGCTGTTTAGGGACATACGAGCTCCACGTTACCGTTTGGACTGTGACTGTAACCTGAAAGAACCAGCAGAGGGCAGCAGTGCACCCTGGAAGCATGAAGTCTGCTAATTGAACTAAGAAATAGAAAAGAAGAGCTACACCGTTGCTCTACTTGTTAGTTTGAATAAAAAACAATTAAATCAAAAGACACATACATTTTGTCAGTTCGTCATCATGACCAACACAAGGAAGCTGCGTATGTTCGGATCCCCACCCGCTATTACCTGGACGCCAGCCTCTGATTAGTGTTTCCGACTCCCAAACTCACCGCAAGTTGTTCCTCCGTCTTTTCCTAGTACCAGAACTCGCCTATTGAGAACCGCTGGTCTAGAATATTGAAAATTTTCACAATAATCTGATTATCTGAGATCCTGAATGTTGGGTTTTCATCAGCTGTACACCATAATCATGACAGTTAGAACAGCTACTGGTGAAACATCTGGATTAGCCTGGAATGAGTCCGTCTCATTGGTTAGTTTCACCTTTTAGGCTGGATTACTGACAGAAATGAACTTTTACACCAGATTCTAGTTTTTCCTGTTTCAGTTGCACTTTGCTGTCAGACAACTCTTTAGTTACCAAAATGTAGAAAAACTGAGTTATATACCATTTTAAGGGTTTAATGAGGTAGTGTTGCAACAGTCAGGATTAGCTCCAACAGTTACTGCAAAACTCACAAGAAACAAAATCAGAGCGTGGCACTCTCAGCATGTATGAAGTAGGACTTTGATCTGTTATGAAATCAAGTCTCAGCTCATTAGGAGTTAAAGTGACCTGCTAATTTTGAGTAGCTATGGCAGCCACCTTGAATGGACAAGGCGTAAATAAATAAATGACACGAAGAATGATTAGAAGTTCCATGTTTTCTTTTGAAAGGGTCAACAATTAAAACCTTAAAAAGTACAAGTGAGAAAAGGCATTGGCTCTGATGTAGACAAGGCAGCTTTATTTATTTAGCACATTTCATACAGATGTGCTTTTCAGATACAAATACACATAAAACACCATGGTGACAGCCCATGAAGAAGGCTCCAGACCAGAAGCAGAAACTTCTATGTAAACATTTCTCTTACTAAAACCCTGTGTCTACTTAAAGAAACCTTTGTCTGATTAATCAGCTGTGGCACAATGAACATCAGTTCAATAAAACACGACATTTTCAACCAAACTCTAAATACACTCATAAAAATGGACAAATAAAGAAAAAAGGCTGAGCAGTTACAGTGCAGATAGCATCAAAAACTATCTCCAAGAGGCAGATGAACACATGAATCTCTGTGTGCAGCATGAGGCTGTTTGGTTCTGACCTGGTTCTACCAGCTGTTTTAATGGTTTCCAGTAGAAGATAAATGACACAGTTGCTGTTTCACTCAAAAGGGACAGAACAGTTAGGGTCAGTCATGTTGCTGTAAACAGTTTTTATACCGGTATTCTCGTGTGTGTGTGTGTGTGTGTGTGTGTGTGTGTGTTTACGTGCATGTGTGTGTGTGTGTGTTTGCGTGCATGTGTGTGTGTGTGTGTGTGTGTGCCTGCCCAGATGCTTTTCCTCATTAAAAGGCTATAATTGGTCTGACCAGAGGCTGAGTTGATTTGGTCCAAATAAGCAATTCTCTTGTGGCCGTTTTAATATCTGGTGACGTTTTGCAGACAATAATTTCTTGTTTGCTGGATAAACGTTTACGGGTTTAGTGGTCCTGTGACCGTTAGGCAGACAGTGTTGTCCTTCTGATGAGAAGTTACCATGGTGACATTTCATACTTTATTTCCTCTTCCCCCTGTAAAATTGCTCCACTAAACCTAAAATGCCTTCATGTAGCCTGAGTATAGACATGAAACCATCCAGGGTTTGGACTGTAGCCTTGCACCCCCCGGGGCAGTCTGATGCAAACAAGTGGAAAATGCCAGGCTCTTGTCTGCTGTGTGTCATTACCCAGTCATTCAAAAGAAAAGCAGCAGATCCGTCAGAGGTACAGAAGCACAGACGGGGTGCACACCACTATCTCTGTCTGCTTATGCTTTGCGGATGAGTGCTTCTCACATGTGAATGTTCACCTTTAACTCACCTTTTCTCTTGTAGGGTTCCCTCATCATTCTCTCAGTGAAAAGCTGCAGGTTTCCTGTTCTGGTCCACCCTACAAAAGGAAGTAAAACGTCCCATCCTAAATAGTCCTTCAGCTGCCTTCTGTCTGCCACTCTCTCTCATCAGGATGCGTTTGAAGTGCTGGCAGAACATTATGAATTCAGTGGAATGGAGGGGCCATGCCTAGCTTTCAGGAGGGCTGCTTCTGTCCTGAAGAGTCTCCCCAGGGTGGTGCAGCATCTGAGGGCAACACAGGACCTACCATGCCTGGGTGAACACACTAAAGCTGTCATGGAGGTGAGGCCCACCTTCTGCATGCTAAAGGACTCAAGTCCAACTACTAGTGAATCTTTTTCTTTGAGTACAGCCAGACAGGAGGAAAAAGCTCAGAGTTTAACAGGAGCTCAGGAGGTAGAGCAGGGTGTCCAGTAATCAGAAGGTTGCAGGCTCTGGAATGGTGCTTTTAGGAAACAGCAGTGGCTTCAACTTTGGATGATTTAGACTGGAGCTTTTCTTTGAGATGTGAGCTACTTAAATCATTTATTTAGTTAAAGGATATCGTTGCCTCTTCATTGATGATGTATGTCGGACTAACCTGTTGACTGGTTTCTGTAGCAATCATAAAATATTAATAAAAACTAGAAAATTCCTGAAGAGATTTAGAAAGGGGCCTGCTAGTTGGCATCAGATAGTGGCCATGTGTCATAAAGCCAATGTGCACCACCACGTCGTCTGCAGCTCAGTCTCTCTTCGTGTCCTATAAGCTGTGTGTGTCACCAGTAGGTGGTGTAATGAGTGATCCTCTATAAAACAATCACTAGTCACCACTACCGGGGCTTAAAGTTGTGTGAAAAGACATGTTTTTAAACAGATGTTAAAGCTGCTTTTTGTTTTTTGGGGAAGGAGGTGTTGGGGTACAGTTACCAACCTGATGTGTAAAACTGTGATCCACAACAAAGCACACAACATTTGGTGTGGGTCCGATCTTGCTTTATGGAGCAATAGCTGGTTGGAGGAACCTATGGGGAGCAAGTTTAAAAGTCAAGCTTGGTGCGACTGTGAATTTGGTAAAGTCTGAAATAGTTGTAGGGGGCGCTGTGGCAAAATTAGACCAGGCTCACCAACAATTTGCAGACATTTGTTTCAGGGGCTGGATTATTATCTATCACGTTCAAATTGGTGCGAATCAGAGAATGTACGTCAAAATTACAGCCAAATGTAATGGGAGGGAAATATATGCTTAGTTTTTTGTGGATCTACAGGTTAAAGTCTCTTTGCGGAGTATTTCTCTTATCCGATGGCACCATCTAGTGGCTGACAAGCGTATCACACAAAAACTCTGTTGCTCTGTTTAAGATGGCGACGCCATGTTTCTGTTTATAAATGTGCTTCTGTAGTGACAAACAGCTAAAACACGTTGTTTTACGAGTATTATTCTCATGTTATGTTGTGTTATGTTATATTTATATGTTAGACTTGTCTGTGAAAAGTTCATCAGCTCTGCATCAGCTGAGGTGTTCCTTGAATCTGAAGCATCTAAGCGGTAGTCTAACGCTATTGGTTAGTTCTGGTCGGGGCTCAGTTTCCTATTGCATGGAGCCCTGCAAGACTAAGCCCCTGCGTGCTTAGCACAAAAAATAAATAAATAAATAAATTACAATATGTCACATCAGTTTTACGGATTTCTAAAAAAATCATACATAATTTCTGAAAGGGAAAAACTCCAGAAAGATACTTTAACTGGGAAATGTCTAAAAATAGAAAAAAGCAAAAACAGCTATGCTAATGCTAACCACTAGCACCAGTAATTTATACAACAAACTTAAACAATAGTCTGGTATGATGTAAGGCTGGGGTGTGAAATTAAATTTCACACTGGGCCAAGATAAAAAAACTGGGACAAAGTTGTGGGCCAAACTCGATATTTACTGAAAAAGTGATGGTAAATGTGCCAATTTTCCTTAATCTAAAGATCTGAATGGTTGAACCTTTTCATTTGGGAACAAACTTATTATTGCAGCAGCAATAACCAAATTACACACGAGCAAATCAATTAAAATAAAAACCCAGATCAAAAAAAGCACAGATCAGTGGTATTCGTTACTTATTTTGTCTCAAGTTTTTTATTCCTTTTTTTCCTTAAAATTAATCTCAACTGCGGTCGTTATGAGACCGATGCACACAACTAACAGCACATACTTTGTCAAAGCTGCAAATGGAAACCAAGGACGGTTTAAGTTGTAGACTGGCGCGAGCTTGCGAGGGTTCGGCGCAGGTAAGCGCTCTGGAGGGCCCTTGGACGACACGCAGGTGCAGTCAGAGATCGGGGTCAATCAGCAGTGGTACAGAGTGCCATTCAACCTCGTCTTTGGTAGGTGAGACTCCAACCTTGGGGCTAGAGGTCACCAGCACCTGCTGTAGTGCAGTAGTGTCAGTGACGTCATCAGACTGTCCTTCTGCAGGTGGAGTCCCCACCTCAAGGTACTGGGCTTCAGCTGGAGTATCAGCGCCACCATCAGTCCCCTCTTTGGCAGGTGGTGTCCCCACCGCAGGTTGCGGAGTCTCAGGTGGTGTGTCACTGCATCTGCCCACTCCCACTAGGGTAGGTGGTTTCCCCACCACAGGGTGGAGTGGTCCTGATGCAGAGACGACGCAGACTCTCTGGATGTCACTGACCTTACTGGTACTGGATTGACCGACCAGGCTGGCGGCGCCATTGTGGTTAACACCGCCTGAAAAGGTAATGAGGTGCTCAAGGGACGCCAAAGGCGTGGGTTGAGTCAACCGAGTTTGGAGTGTCCAATCACCGAGTGAAATGACAGCCTTTAAGTGTTGGAGCAGGTCCCATCCCAACACGAAAGGAAACTCTTCAACGTTAGTTACAAACACTGGATGGCTCACGAACAAGTCTCCCACTGTGAAATTGATGGACACCACGTTTGACAAGGGCATTTGGCCTGAAGAGTACGGATGGATGTCCACAGCGCAGGGCGTGAGTCCTAAGACACGACCCTGTGCAGCTGCAGCCATGCGGACCTGCTCCCAGAGAAAGCTGAACATGATGGTGAAATCTGAACTCAAGTCCAAGACACCCTCACAGTCCAGCACCCCCTCCAGGGTCACCGGAATGTGAGGTTTATCAGTAGAACCTTTACAGATGATACTGCAAAGATCACTTTGTGGAAGTTTGATCGGTGATCTATGTTGGCCAGGTCCGGCTGCAGGTTCTGTGGGTGCTAGAGGACTAGCGCTGACGGAAGCAACCACCCCAGGCCTCACTGAGACCTCAGGTGTCGGTGAATACACCGTTGTGGCAGGCTCCGCCTCTGCAGGACCTGCTTCCACAACTAAGCCACAGGCAGGTTGAGGAGGTTCTAATGCAGAGATGCACAGAACCGACTCACGTTCTGTTGAATCTTTCAACAGGTCAAGAAGTGCGGCACCAAGGGCGTGAATTTTTCCAGGAGATCGGCTCCCAGAATTAGTCCTTGGCCTTGGGGCAGGACTGTAGTCCTTGCGAGCACTACGTGGTGATTTTTGGCCAGAAGGAGAGTGTCTCTCGCCTGAGCGAGGCGACTCTCTCCTGAAGGAGTATGGTGAAACCCCCTTTTCTTTAAAAGAAACACGGTTTTTATCGCTGCTGAGTCGTGGTGACTTAGGGTCCCCTCCATGAGCCGGTGGAGGGGTCGCAGCGAGGAGGGACAATAACCCGGGATTTAAAAGTTAAAATGATGATCAGGTTTATTTACAACTACAAAAAAACATAAATCTTTTCATCCACAGGTTGGGAATAATAAAACTAATTCTGCCTGTGGGGAATTAAAACAAAAGTACAAATAACTAGGGATGTCCCACTGGGCAAAGATTACTGGGTTCTGGACCAAAATAAGAATCTCCAAAGGTCCAAACTCTAAACTGGGTGGTTAAATCAAACTCAAGGTGATATTTTACACTAAACCGAAAACCCACAACACTCTAAATGTAATAAAAGGGAGATCTGCACCACAAAAAAGATAAAATCTAAACCAAAACGTAACAGCTTATCCCAACACAAGAAGCTGTTAGCGAAGATGCTATCAGTAGCTTTACCAATGTTAAGTTCAAGTTACCAAGTTTAAATAAACCAAAAATACCAAGCAGCAAACAGACCAGCACGAAGGAGGGACTGCTACCACAAAAACAGCTCTCCTAATGTCTGAAAGAAGCTCCTTTATGAAGGGAGAAACGCTCCCGGTGATGTTCTACATCTGCGATAGAGACGAAGCAGCGCATCTGACCCCGGAAGTTGTTGTCCGTTGCCGGGAGACAAAGGCGGGCAAAACAGGAAAGGAATCGAGTAGCGGACGGACATTGTTCTGGGTCTTCGGTATTTGGCGGATATGTTAGTGAAGGCGGAGAAGAGGGCGAACTAGAGGAAAAACAGGCAGATTCCACCTCTATTTACAAACTCCTGGGGATGCAACAAGTGGGCGCGGTGCGTCGACTACCGGATCTGACGTCGACACATTTTTAGAATCGAGCCGTCGACGTCATCGAGGCTTCGCTACAGCCCTACTAATTTGGTGCAAACATTTACTCGCTATGTGGCAGATAGAGCTCAAAAATTTACTCGCCAAATGGAGCAATTTGCTTGCATTTGGCGAGTGGCGAGTGTTAATTTTGGACCCTGCTCTAGGGTTAATCAAGTTTAATTGTTTCTCTTTGCAACAATCTTTACAAGCAGGCAAAACAGTTAAATGGCAGGTTACAGATATTTCCATTTGAATGTTTATTTGATGGATAAACTAAAGGATGATGGTTGTTATGAAAGAATTACCCCGTCGCACACTGATGCGAACACAGATGAGCTGACATCTAAATTGTTACACACATCGCAGAGGTAACTAAATCAATCAAGAAAAGATTCCCATCAGAACATCAGAGCTTTATTCTGGACACTGTGCTCAGCGCAGCTCGCAGCGCACATGGTGGACAGTGGCAAGGTGGAGAAACGAGGGCCCGGGCGGGATTTGATCCCCAGACTCCCGGCTGAGAGTCACGAGCGCTTACCAGTCAGCCAAAGGGACATCCCCTTGGCCAAGTAGCCAGGGCGCATGATCAATCGGGATACTGTGACAGGACGCTGCCACTGCCACATGAAGATCTGTGAAGGGGTTCGCAGCGCAGCACAGAACCACAGCAATGCGGTAAGATTTCCTCCCACTGAAGCAGTCTGGAAACCCTGTCTCTCGGAGGGATCTGTCACTTGGAAAAATGTTCTCTGATTATGAAACTTTGGTTGAACAGCACTTGTTCCC